GTTATTTTTTTTAAAAAGTCAACTAGATTACTACTAGTAGTAGTAGTTACATCTACTTGGAAGTGGCAGGGATCTTTTGTCAAGACAGGGATGAGCAGAAGATCATGATAATTTGCCTTCAGTTCAGGCCTATGGTCTAGGCTTCCTGACTGGTTTTTCCTAATGGGTGGGCATAAATCTCTTGGCTTTTACAAAAACTATGACAATGAGGCCATTCTCCATTGAAAGCCGTGATAGGAAAAGCTGGTTTGCTGACAGCTGAAGGACACCATGACAAAGGTTTCCAAACTCTGAGAATGTTTGAGGAACACAAAGTCACAGGTCCACCTGGAATGGGGATTTTTTTTTTAAAGAAAGCACTGTCTGAATTGATGATACTGTAACTCTTCCCCTCTCCCCTCCAGTCTCTCCTTATGGAGGTGGAAAGCAACAAGAAGTCTATGGAAGATGAGCTTCAGAGATCGAATCAGGTCAGTGATGGGAACTGGTTGCACACCTCTGTTTCATTGACCAGAAGATGCACATAATTAAGGGGTATGTCTGGGACCACAGCTCACAATGCTGCAACTCCAAGTATTCCTGACAAGGAATATCCTGACAAGATGGAGCTAGAATCCTAATCAAATTCAGACCCTGCAAAATCAATTGGAGATACAGTTTTTTACGAGCCCTAAACATTTTCCTTTCTCCAATCAAGTTCAATTCATGGCTTCTACCACATACACCTATGTTCCTTTCCACCATCCCTAAATATTAATCCTGGTCATCACCCCTCCAAAGATCCATCCTCTCTCTCTTCCTTCTCCCTTTTTTAATAGCAGAGATTGGGAAGGAAAGTATCTTAGAACAGTGGAATTGAAAAGGACCACAAGGATTATCTGGTTCAATGTTCTGCAATGTGCAGGAAAACCAATTTAACCATCCATGAGAAGTGACTGTTCACTCTTAAAAACCTTCAGAGATGGAGAACCTACAACCTCTATAGATAAACAGTTCCACTCTGACGTTGGGGAAGGTATGAGAGGGCCTTGGGTGGGTGGGGACTTAAAGCAGAGATTTCACAGTCCTGAGATAGGAGGAAGTGTCTAATACCCATGTCTTGATTTTGCTTAGTATAAGATGGGTCAGAGAAACTTGGGCAAGCTTTCAAGATTCAATTACTTTACCTTACAACAACAAAAATAGCATTCCTGGAATCCTTGCAATGTCAGTTCCTTGATCTGGCCTACCCCAAAGGGATGACATCAATCTTGAAAGTCTCTCAAAGTTCCTCTCTGACCCATCTTATACTAAAAACAATCAAGGCAGATTTATTTTGAATTTCTTTCTCACCTTTCCTTCTTCTCCAAGTTTTCCCTTTACAGCTGTCTCATACCTCCCCCAAGGTCAACTTTAAATTCCTTTACCAGCATGATGGATACAGCCCGATGGGAACTGTGGTTTTATTATGAGCACTTTCAGTATTACAATCACTTCCTTCTCCCCTAAGCAAGTTGAACTAAGGGAAGCAGGCAATGATTTCAAGGGTGGGAACTGGCAAAGCAGTTTACTCTAAATTACAAACCTCAACCCAATGATTTTTTAATGATATGGTAGTGCCAGCCCTTCGAGGTAGTCCAGACAAGAAGCACAAACCATGAATACCTACACTACCTTTATTGTAAGGTTACAGTAACAGAATGTTGCAAGTCTGAAAGGCATATCCTCTCTCCTTCATTTTTACTTTCCAGTAAACCAGGGAGGGTCCCTTCTGAGATGCTTCCCACACCCCATTCCTTCTCTGGGCTCAGCTGCCTCTTATCTGACCGTTGCCTAGTCTGCGGCTCTTCCTCCTGTCTCCCAAGGCCATTCCCACATATATTATGTCTAGTGATATATCTTTTTCTCTTCTTCCTCCACCCCACCGATCTTAGAAGGCGCTGGGCTTCCTTCAAGAGAACCAGTGTCTGCAGAACAAGCTGCAAGCTGCTGAACTCCTCCAATGGCAAGCTCAGAGTGCAGAGCAAGATTATGAAGAAGTTATCCATCTGTTGGAAGCTGAGATCCTGGAGCTGAAAACGCAGCTGACTGGAAAGAAAAATAAGCAGCTTTTGGAAGCAGAGGTCAGGCTGAAGCAAGAACTGTCGGGCTTCATTCATTGCGTTGTGGTTTGCTTGAATATAATGATTTGTTGACTAAGCCACTATTGGCTGAGTTTACTTAAAACACTAACTTATAAACCATGCTTTACAAGTCACAGTAGCTGTAAGCCCAGATCTGTAAATCAGATCATGGCTTATCAAGATTTGTGTACAGGTCTTAGCTGGGCCAGCAAAATATAGTTTGTAGCTTGATATGGAATCCAGAACAAAACTCCCCCCCCAATTCCCCCCCCCCCACAACCCTCACCAGCTAGAAACAATATTTAGTAACTGCTGCTCTATTGTCTGTCT